ATATATATATATATATATACTGGGTCTTGCATTCTTTCTTTTTTTGAGCCAATCATACTTTTAGAGACTCTTCTTTTTTTTTCTGAAAATTGTCTGCTGTTGTGGGTCGTCTCAGTAGAGCACGAGTGGTGCTGCATGCGCACTTCAACTTTTTTCTGTTGGTCAGTAATAGTAAAAAGATGACGACCAAAGTAAAGTTGGGTTGGAGGTCAATAAAAGTAAAGTGCTCCTCCAGAATGCCGCATCAGGATGGCTGTTCCTCTCCCGAATCCTGTGCCCACTCATTCACAAGCTTCAGAATCTCCCAACTCCCAGTGATCGGAGGAGAGCCTGCCTACAGCCCCGCGTGCATCCGCGTGGCGCCGGCCGTGACAACTTCACCCGAGTCGCCTGCTTCTGCGCCTCGTCGCCGGTGTCGACCAGGCTCATCCTGACATCGATTTCAAGCAAATCGAATGGATAAAATTTCAGAATTCTCCTTGAGTGCCTTCTATATGGCCCTCAGATTGAAATTTAGCAATTTATCCTAATGTCTAGACTCAAAATGGTTTGGTAGAATCCCATCCAAAGAGTTAAGCTCATTGCATTATATTTACTTCGGAATTGCAACTTACCAACTTTACGTTGGAGTCATGCAGTTTTACACGCTCATGACAAAACTGCATAATATTATTTCCTTCTATCTTTGATATGTGGATAACTACCAAGTATTTCCTATCTGCAGTAATTCAGTTGCATACCGATGTCACCACCCGGCATACATCATTGGCCCCTCAACATATAGTTGGGATCTATGTGAGGAATAACTGTATTTCCGTCAATACCTCAAGCCCCTCACATGGGGAGTTATTCAAGGCCAGTATGTTGATTCAATGAGGAACATTTCTAGGCATTAGGGGGAGATTTCAAGTACCATAAAGAATGCCAGGAAATTAGTGGAATGTTAAACACATTTTCTGCCTCAAATCCACATACTCAAATATCTGAACCATGCGTTCAGAAGATTTGCAACACATTGCAAATAACCTGCCAGATTCATTTACTGACTATAAAGGTGTCACACAATCCTACAGTCCTGCAAAAATATGCCTGAAAGAGTGATGGTACCAACAAAATTCACTCCACTCCCTGTTCATAGCAACAAGGGGAGATGTATGGTAGAAGTACATCAGGATTCAGCTTCCCGCAAGCAAGGATATCAAGGCCTGTAAATTAGTAAATGCAAGTAAACTTCACTTTGACAGACACCTATTGGGTAGTATACACCCAGCGGATGGGAAACTTCCACCAACCCATGTCATAGTGCACACAATGACCGGGACATCGGAATACCCGACTCAATCGCATTGGGAAATCGCGAGCAGTCGCCATGGGTAACGATATTTCCATCAACTATATATTGATATATAGATTCTGGAGAATCATATAACCGGAAGTCTACAAATGTCAACATACATTTCTCAACTAGATTGCAAAACATTTCACATGATTCAGGTCCAAAGACCATGGCCATGGCAAAGTGTGAACAACACTCAGACTGAACTCAAGCAAAGGGTATAATCTAGGTAGAAATCATCTTGCTCAATAATGGGAAGGTATTCATAAGCAATACCTACACCAGTTTTCTTCTGGAAACAGAATTGAGAACAAAAGAGGTGGTGAAACAAAGAGCAAGTATTGTAGCACAAGGGTTCACACAGATACCCAACTATTCTCCAGAGGTGAAATCTCTTTCCGATAACTTATATTATTGGCAGTACAAAATCATCTATCTCTGCAGTTGATAGATGTAGTGATCACATATCCATGTGGATCACTAGATTCAGACATATATGATTGATTTCCGATGAAATCTCAATTCTGAATCGAAATACAAAATGCCACATACATTGTGTAAAATCAGTAAGTCACCATACAACTTATTATTGTCGGTACATATGGTACAAATGACGTAGTGAGATCCTTATACACAAGGATTACTCCTACTATGATGATTATCCACTAATTAATCTAGGTTAATTATTCTTAACCGAAACCACGGGGAAGTGGGAACACATTACACATGGCAGAGAGTAAAAAAAGGGGGTTAAAGTGCGGTGGGCCCCACAAAAAGTTGTCTGATCCGCATGTGAACTACCCGGGGAACGGTGAAGTGATGCCAGTATTTAGAAATTGACCAAGGAAGAGGCAAGTCGTTGCCTAGCTGACCAAACCTGGCACCAAACCTCACAAACCAGCATCTGAACTAGCATTTGTCTTCAAGAACCAAGATCCAGGAGACAAAGCATCGAGGTACACAACGAATCAAGGAGGAAAAGGAGGCTGCAAGTGTAAGGAGAAGGGCAGGATCAGCCGCAGCCAGCAGAATCAGGAGAGCGCCAGGGAAGTCAAGGAAGAATATCAAGAAAAGAGTCGCAGGCCAAGCATCCTCCCGAACCAGATTTAGATACCATCAAGTACAGGTAAAGCCTTGTATTTAAGTACGCCATGAATAGTGTTTTCTTTTTGTCTTGAGAAAATGAATACTGTTTGCTTGACCATAAAGGTAGTATGATTCGAGTTAAACGCCATTGTCCTTCTCTAGGACATCCTCTGTTTTTCCTTGTCAGCAGGTTCATGCCTCATATCCACACACACACTCCAGATTGTAGTGTCATCATAAAATAGGGGATGCATACTATCAAAAATGCACATAGAAATTAAGAGTTCAGTAAAGGGAGTAATCTTGGTTACAGGATATGAAGGGATGACTAGTTTTTATGCATAGATATGTAGCAGCACCTGTTATCATGCAAATAGAATCAGGTTTAGAGCCCTAATCATGGCAGCTACAAATCTAGAGTAAATCCATCTTTTATTTTCAGTAGAGGTCCTGCAGGACACCACCTGCTACACAAGCAGATTGCTATAAGGAATCACCTTTCCCAAGGACACCACCTGCTAGCTTATACTACATCTCTGCTGATTTAAGACTTCACACTCATGCCCATCTCTGAAATACAGTAAGAACTTATTCTGAAGCTTGGAACTGCTGTAGTGGTGCACTAGCATGCGAGTATCTCGTTTGCATGTTTTTCCTAATAATAAAGTGCAAAAAATAGGAAATTAATTGAAACATACTGCCTTGAAATCCGAGATAAGGAGCTGTAGGTTTGATTTTCAGTTAAGAGTAGTAAATGTACTGTATGTGCAGCATCATCTTTTAGATCATCAAAAGTAGAATTCATGTTCAGGTTCATGTCATTGTTCATAACAGATTGTAACATAGACAAAACCCCTTAGTATACATTAGACAACAGATCTACGTATTACTTTGTGGATTAGATTTTGATAGCAAGGAACAGATCTAGCATTTACTCTCTCTTTAAAGTAATATAAGGTATTTTAGATCACTAAAGTAGTGATCTAAAAGATCTTATATTGCTTTACAGAAGGAGTACTACGTAACAGACAAATGGTTGCTGACTGAACAAATTCACATGCAACTCCCTGAAATATAATGAGTTCCTTACCTTTTGATAGCAAGGAACAGATCTATCACTGTGGATTAGATTTTGGTTACATGCTTGGCTGTGTGAAGTGTACAACAAAGAAAAGACTAAGCTGACCCATGCTAAGCCTACAAAGAAGACCCTGTTGTGGACTTGACCAATTATTTGTAGTTGAGCTTCATATTCAAGTTCCAGCCGAAGAACTAGGACCCATATACACCGTCTTCAGTCTTTATAACAGGACCATTTGTTCACACTTTGGCTTAGGTTTTCTTTAGGATTATTCAAACTATGTAGTTCAGGTTCAGACCAAATTCCCTCAAACCAGCTTCATAAATGACTTAACCTTGCCATGGAGTAAATAAGTTTAGTATCCCAAGTAGCACCCTATTTTGAACTGTACAACATATGAGCAGGTTACTAGAATGTGCACATGGTAAATGATCAGGTCGACCGATAAATGAGCAGGTTACTAGTTTAGTCTTTCATCTAGCAATTACCATATATGTGACTAAATTAGCAATACTGTTGGAGTCAGTACAGGAAGCATATGCTGCACAAATACAGAACGTTGTGCGTTTCTTTTATCCATTTATTTCAGAGTAAAACAAAAACAGAAACTCAGTTACGAACTACAATTCTGTTAAACCATTTCAGCTCATCTGTACATGATATGGGAAAAACTTTAAGGGCTTCTTTGATTCAAATGAATTGCATAGGATTTTTTGAGGACTTGAATCCTTAAGAATTTTTCCCGTGTAGGTCCTTTGATTCATAGTATGAAAGGAATCCTTTTGATTATTTTTGTAAGGAATCCCCTCCAGTCTTTTTTGGAGGAATGTTTCCATCCACCCAAACCTCTTTTTTTATTTCCTTTGCTGTTACTGCGGTGCATCAAACACTCGTTGGTGCAAATTCCTGAGGTTTTATATTTCCATAGGATCCATGTGTACATACCATTCCAATCTTGTCTTTTTCTTATTCCTGTATTTTAGAAATCCAGCGAATCAAAGAAGCCCTAAATGAAGATAATAAGATCAAGGTAATTTGAGATCATAAACATGTAAATCCTTAACCTCTAGAAATACTTCAAAGTCAATTGGTACTTAGCAATCTTTTTAAATTTTGCTATTAGTGATCAAAATTATAAACAGTTCGACAGTCTAGATTACTATTGTTTATGAAGTCATTGTTTTTGAAACTTTGATTTCTGGTATTATGGAACTACAAGATTGGACATTTGAAGAAATATTTGTCGCTCAAAGTATTATAATTTTGCTAGAACACAGAAATATGTTACAGTAGGAATCGTGGCCAGCGGTGGCATCAGGGGACTAGATTGGTATTTAAAACGACAACATTTCTGTTTATTAATAATATAACAACATGTGTAATCTAGAGTTATTCAAATATTAGTAGTACATAAAGAATGGCAACTATACTTGATTTATAACATATTTTGAAAAATCATTGTCAGGGGGCGTCGCACAAACCAGAAAGGGGAAAAACATGGTGAAGGCTAGCGAACTTGTGAAATGGTCCTTAGTATTTGAAAATAGTGACAGCGCGGCGCTTATGAGAATTGAGTTCCTAGTTGTGGCTATTGCAGCTATCTTCCTCCTGATGTCATTCTTGGACATGTACCGTCGTCAGTGCCGCCACTCCGCCATCAAGTACCTCTTACTTGTCCTCGACGCCATAAGTGATTCCTCATTCATCTACACAATTGGACTGATGCAGAGTGCGCCCTTCAAGAAAGATCTGTTTTCAATATGGGCGCTGGTATTGGTCAACCTCCGGTTCAATGCTTGCTTCATCTCAGCATACGGCATCCCTGACCAAGACAACAGCCGCATAACCGAGGGCGCCAGGGTGATGTCACTTCTAGGGGTGGCCTTCTTAATCGGCACACAGAACAGTCAGTTTAAGCATCCGATCTGGGTGCTCTGGGCAATGCAGCAAGTGAGAAGTAAATACCTAATAGTTGCATACAATAAAGCGACAGGATCCTTCTTGCACGGTCGGAGCTCGCCACTTCTGACAGCATATATGGGTACCGATGCTGGTATCTGTAAGGAGGGGAATCCGACCACAATGAACGAGTACAAGTACTTGGTCTCTGGAGATCAGGATCAGAAGGTCAAACTGCAGGCCCCTGAGTATAAATTTTATCTGAAAGTTGAGTCAGAGGGAGATCAGGAGCAGAAGGCGCCTTGGTATAAATTGTATCTGAACCTTTCAAAAACAATTTTTGGTCTGAAAGTTGAGTCAGAGGGGCGGTTCATCACTCTTGATAAGACTTGGGAGCAGCTCAAAAACCAGCATTCAGACACCGATGCAGGGGGCGGCCAACGATCATGGGCCAAAGACCTGTGCCTGTCCTTTGCACTATACCGACTACTCCGTTGCAGATTTGACGACTTACCCCTGCCAGACGAGAGCCTTACAAGCACCAGAAAATTAATGTATGAAATTATTGGCAAGAAGGACGAAGATTTGTCTACACAAACAGACCACCATACTCAGGGAGCATTCAACGGAGATTTGCCTACACAAACAGACCACCATACTGAGAGAGCATTCAGCGGAGATTTGCCTGCACAAACAGACCACCATACTGAGAGAGCATTCAGCGCAGATTTGCCTGCACAAACAGACCACCACGCTGAGAGAGCATTCAGCGCAGATTTGCCTGCACAAACAGACCACCACGCTGAGAGAGCATTCAGCGCAGATTTGCCTGCACAAACAGACCACCACGCTGAGAGAGCATTCAGCGCAGATTTGCCTGCACAAACAGACCACCACGCTGAGAGAGCATTCAGCGCAGATTTGCCTGCACAAACAGACCACCATGCTGAGAGAGCATTCAGAGGAGATTTGCCTGCACAAATAGACCATGCTGAGAGAGCATTCAGAATTGCTAAGTTGGAGCTTGCGTTCCTCAACGACTACTTCTACACAAGATACCCCATCCTTTTTTGGCGTGGCTTCCCACTGATTTTTGCTTGGTACCCTCTCCTGACCATTGCTCTCATCGCTTGGCTTGGAAGGGACATCCACAAACTCTACAAGCCTAAGGTGGGAGAAACTGCCCACGTCGTGCACGGGGTCAACGTTGATCTCATCATCACATGGATATTCATGTGCATTATCGTGCTGAAGGAGTCTTGGAAGGTGGTCACCTACTTGCTGTCTGATTGGACTAAGGTGATGCTGCTGTGCGAATACAGTTCGCGCACCCTGAAGTGTATTCCACAGTGGCTGTGGGAGTTCTTGGTTCGGATCTTGTGCACACCAAGATGTAGAATTGTGCGCCGTTGGCACAATAAGATCGGTCAGTATGAATTCTTGCAGTCATTTGGTCACAATCCTAGGAACATTTTTTACTGGTTAAGCCTTGGCTTGGTCCCAAAAGAAATTAGAGGTGCAAAAGTAGGCAGCCCAATGGAGCTGCCAAGAGATGTGAAAGCTGTCGTTCTCAAGTCACTTTGCTCTTTAGATCTTAAGCAGAACTCACTAAAGTCAGACCTACCGACTGATGTTAAGCAGTTCAACTTTGAGTGGACTTTCAAACTGCGGACATGGTGCCACAGCATTCTTGTGTGGCATATAGCAACAAGCCTGTGTGAGATTGAGCTTGCTCAACGCTACAACACAAGCTTAACGACTTCTGAGTTACTGTGTGCAATCAAGACTGCTCTCAATTGTTTCTCCTCCCAGCCATATCTTATAAAGGAAGACAGAATTGAAGGGTGGCTCCGAGCTAATTATATAGCCGCCAACAGTATATCACGCTACTGCGCCTATCTGCTTGTTATAGAACCAGATTTGCTACCTGACAGTTTCTTAACTGCCGATGACTTATTCAGATGCGCCGTCGATGAGGCTTTAGATATTCTGAAGGGCTGTGACACCCTGCAAAGCATATACAGAAGGCTGGTACGAGGAATTCCTCGGCAAGATGACAGAAAAATGGACAGACTAGAGACCCATCCCAATACGATACTTGCGAGTGCTGCACGCCTTGCTTGGTCTCTGATTCATGAGATCCCAGATGAAGTAGTTCGCTGGAAGGTCCTCGCAGAAGTCTGGGCCGATATACTGGTACACACAGCCCCCTCATGGAATGCCTCAGCTCACAAGAAATGCCTTGCAACAGGTAGTGAGTTCATAACTCATATATGGGTCATTGTTTCTCATTGCAACGTCCAGAGCAGTAAGCGCTGGCCATATCAAGAACCCCCACAGGATGACGATGACGACGACAACCAAGCAAGTGAACGGCAAGAAGTGGGAGCGCCAGCGCCATCACAGGAACCGACTGTGGCTGGTGATGGACTGTTGGCACAGGAAGGGCCAGCGAGGGTTCTGTCAAATGGAGCACTACAAGAACAAGACCAAACATCAAGTCCAACTATAGGACAGCATTTAACCACAAATGGCCAACAACTTGCTCAGAAAGAAACAGAAGAACACAATGAAATACAAGAGGTCAGAGCCGATTGGAAAGGATGACACATGTCATTTGCATAATTGAATATTAATGTTCAAAAATGTCATCGATGTACTTTTCTTGCCCCTTTTCAGAAAGATTGTATGAGTCCTTCGCAGTGACCACATTAACTGCTTCTCAGCGTTGAACATGTATGGGATTTATCTCTGAATTCTAGTTTATGGGATTTATCTCTGAATTCTATGTCTGTATGTTGAACTATCAAGTGAATGCCCTCTTGGAAAAGGAAATAACTAAATGATTTCATATTTGCAAGTATTAATTATCCCTACCTATGCAAGTGCGACCAGATTTTTTTTAAGTCCTTGTGGAAGAGTTTCATATCAAGGGTTGTGATAGGCTTGGCGAGCCAACGTAAAAACTAGCCAGTCTTTTGGGTATGAAACCCATTTGGGCGAGAGTAGTACTAGGATGAGTGACCTCCTGGGAAGTCCTCGTGAAAGGGTTTCATATCTAGCCTACCCCAACTTGTTTGGGATCAAAGGCTTCGTAAGTAAGTAAGTAAGTCTAATGTGACCCGCCGCCACTGAGCTTCTTTGGTTAGTGAAGTTTCTTAACACTGATTTGTCTACAACTGCAACTAGGAGTACAAGCCTGTTGCTGTTCCAAACGACATAAATTCACTATTCCTGGGAAAGCAAGTCGATTTTACTTTTGAATGGTCTTAGTGCCGAGTTCAGGCATTTCCAGCAGGTATCCTGTTAATGCCCCGAACTCACCCTTCTTCTTTCCATCTCCTATTGTAGTGTGTTAGGTGCCTGTTGTTGTAACAGCCGTTGGCGTGGTGGGTTGAGAGGTTAAGTAGTTCTGTGGCAAGAGAGCTAGGCTGCTGTCTTTTGGCCACTCTGAATGCTAGCTGTAGCTTCTAATGTGGTCTGGTTGTATAGCGTTATCTGCCATGGAATCGATAGATAGGTGAAAAGGTGTTAGTTTAGTGTGTATCTGTCAAAGACCTGGCTTCAGATATGGTGCTTACACCTTCAGGCAAAAGCGGAGGTCTGAGACAAGAATCGGTGGGCCAGAATGGACCACCTGACAGGCATTTTGCGAGACATTGTGTATGTGTATGTGTATGTGTATGTGTATGTGTATGTGTATGTGCATGTGCATGTGTGTGTATTGGGGTGTGTAGCTGCCGCGCCTCTTGTTGTAGCGTGGTGGGTCGTGAGATTAAGCACTTCCATGGCGAGAGAGGCTGCTGTCTTTTGGCCAGGCTTGTATAACTGAATCCCCATTCTCTGCTTCTATCCTGTTCTCATTGCTGCTGCACTTCCATTGGACAGGCCATGTGTGGGTAACACTATCACTTCCATTGGACAGGACGTGGCGTGGTCTTCAAATGATTCGGGGCTTTTTTCCCCCTCAAGATCAAGTTGGTCTCCTCTAGCAGAGGTAAGTTTGGCATGTCTCTGTTCTGAGAAACAAACTCCGTGTGTATGTTTTCTAGGTGAAACTGCCGTGGCTCGAATCTTCGTCGGCTTATACTTGCACAGGCCATGAGGCAGGTTCGAGGATTAACCATAGCTTCCCGGCCCTTGTGCTGGACCACCGTCCGCCGGCGGAGGCGGCGCAGCACACACAGAGAGAGAAAGAGGAACGGATCAAGAAACGAGCAAGGGCTCAAAATCATCCTCCCGAGCCTACCTACCGTCGGACGAACACCAAAGCAATCCAATCCAACCGGCCGCCGGCGACGCCCCCAAATAAAACCGAAGAAGAAGAGCCGGAGCAGCCATGACGAAATTAATGGCGGCACTTCTGGAAGAACGCGAACTGCCGCCGCGGGGACGGGACCGGAAACCACCCTCGCCCGCGGGCAGAACTCCAGAACTTTTGGCAAACCCTGGGAGGGAGGAGAAAAAAAAACATAAAACAACGAAAATGTTATTTAGCGAACGTTCACTAAGAGGTTGATGCTGGCGAACGCCATCAAGCAGTCCGACCTGGCCGCACGGATCTTGGCGCAAATCCGACGACGCGTCAACTCTCTGAAATGTAAGTGAGCTCCTGGTGAACATCCTTTTTAAATTTTTCCTCAAAATAAGTAATGATCGGGGGGATCGAACTCGCGCTCTCCAGGCATGCAAGGCATCAGTTGGGCTAGAGAGGTTTTTGGTACACTTTTGCGCTCAAACGCATTTTATTTCTTCGAGTTAAATTTTTTATTTCTGTTTTTCATTTAAAAAACATAATCAAGAAAAAAATCATTGTTTGAAAAAACAAAAATCCCTAAATTTTTAGAGGTGATTATTTTTCTAAACTTGCCATGTGCACTTTTTATTATATGTAGGATGGCAATTTCCATGTCTCTTTCAATACCCCCTTGGCAATTTTTTATGAGCATGGAATTTTGATAGTTAGTAACATGACATTTTTATTATTAAGAGGATAACATTTTTATTATTAAGTTTAATACGAGGATGATGGTTTTATTATTAACAAGTGGCAATTTTATTTTTTAGAGCATGGAATTTTTATTATTGTTGACATGACATTTTTATTATAAAGAGGATGACATTTTTATTATTAACAGGTGGCATGTTTATGTTGAGAGGATGGAATTTTTATTATTGTTGACATGGCATTTTACTATAAATAGGATGATATTGTTAATGTCAAGGGGAGGTTATTTTTAATGTTGAGATTGTGTCATTTTATTTACTTTTCATTGCATGGCAGTTTTTTGGGGGGGTTTATCTAGACAAAATATTTTATCTAGAGGATAGCAGTTTTATAAGTAGCGTGTCAAATTTTTTTCTGAGCATGGAATTTTTATAAATTTGTATTTTTTTGTTTATGGCATTTTTATATGCAGGGTGGCAGTTTTAAAATTTAGCATGGCAAGAAAAGGATCAGTCCACCTTTTTTGTGTTTTTCAAGTTTTAATATGGCAATTTAAACAAAGAACACTTAAAATGGGCCTTTTGGGTCTCGTGGGGTCGCCCTGGCCTATCCTCATGGTGAACGACCAAAAACGATCGCGGGAAGCCGGGAACTCCTCCTTGGCGAATGAATTGTCAGATACTCCGAAAATTGCGTGCAACTACCGGGCTCCATGGCTCATGGTATTTGAAATTTTTGACAAACACACTTTCATTGCTAAAAAAATCATAAATCAAATACGTGAAAACATACACACATTTCTAAGGCTCGGTAAAAATCTGAAAATAAATACGTTAGATACAACCCATTGAAATAGTTGTATGATAACTTGTTGGTTGATAACATGGATATTTTACCAACAAGACTAACATACAATCTATTGAAGATGCCCTAAACCAGAAAGGAGGTAGTACATTAAAAGAGACCTGTGAAGCCACATTTGATTGTCTAAGAACCGTGAAGCTTTGTGGTCAGATTGAGCGCTGCTATACACACGACATGTGCAACCGAACTTTGAACGATCCTATTGATCCAACCATGGGCACAAGGTGGAGCGCATCCGCCGGATCAAGCATCGTCCACTCATCGTGCAATGAGCATCGGCTGCACAGTAGTTCCGTTGTTGTATAGCAACTCTAGCAGACCCCGCATCCCGTCAGCCCGCAGAACGCATTTGCAGTTCACGCAAAACTGCTTTTGCGGGTCGGCGCGGGTTGGCACAGATGCAGACCCCCCAAACGGATCCGTAAAAAAGTATATTCGCGGAATATGCTTTTTTTACGGGTCGGCTATGCGGGTTCTGCTCGGACACCACCGTGGTGACCCGCAAACAGATAAACCGCAAATCTCGCATTTGACATAGAATTTCACAAACAAGTTCAAATTCAAATGACATAAACAGTTTTACACGCAAATAGAAGCCAAGTTCGTTAAGGCTAATGCAAAAGAGGGCCCTGCAAAAGGTTTGCGCCCATGTCCGGCATCATCTTGATCGATCTTCACTCCGCGCCATCTAGTCCACCTTGGAGTTCATCGGCGCCACCGAATCCACCTCCGGCGTTTGTTCCAACTCCCGCACCGAAATCATCCATATTGCCACCATATGAAGCGGAGAAAACATCACTGGAACTGTAGCACGGATCGGCCGACGCCACCATTCTTCTCTTCAAGATTTCTCTCCTTGCCATATCATGCCATGTTTTGATGGGGTCGTCCATATCATTGCGGTTCATTGACATGATCTTGTTCTCTTCGGCGAGTAACATGGACATAGATTTGTTTTCGGTGGCGCGTGCTTTTCTCTCCTCGATGGCAGCTTTGCGCAACCCCTCTTCCTTGAGCAACTGCCACTTTTCTTGCTTCTTCTTCGCCTTCTTCTCAGCCAACTCTTTCTTGATCTCCAACGATTTCAACAACATCGACTCGTTGGATTGCACCATGGCATCAATCTTCTCCCTCAAGCTGGATGCTTCTTGCTCGCGGGGGGAGCGGCACCGTTGAACGGCATCGCCGGAGCACCTCCTTGCGGAGGGATCGATGGAGCGAGAGGTTGAAGAAGGTGGCTTCTTTGAAGCCGGAACCTTCCTCCGCTTTACGCCTGCGACCTTGCCGACCTTCTCGGCCGGGATCGCGCTGCCGCGTTGGCGCCCGGAGTGCGGGCCATCGCGGCGGGGGTGGCCGGATTCCCGCCCTGCACGACCACGTTGCCCTGCCGCTTGCGGGCAGGCGCAGCATGGGCTTGGGCGACGGCGGCGGGGCCAACATGGCCGGCGACGAGATCTGCTCGAGGGGAAGGGGCGTGCGCGACCTCGACGGTGACGGGGGACAGCATGGGGTCGTCCATGGCGGCGAGGGACGGCCGGGGAGTTGTAGCTGGAGCTTGCGGAGTGGGGGCAATGGTGGCGGAGGGTGCGGGGGGCGGGAAGGGCCGCGCGGAAATGTCCCTCCCGCCAAATCTCGCACAGGATAGAGATTGAGCGCGGATCGGCCTCCCAACCTATAAAAATAGAGATTGGGGAAGAACATTTACTGCGCCCCGCCAAAAAATTTGCGGGCCGAGGCGAGATGCGGGGTCTGCTCGTGCAGATTTTCTGGCTCCGACCCACAATTTAGAGGTTAT